CTTCAACCGAGAAGATAGATCATAAACCAAGAACAAAAGCAAAGAAATGTACGCACAAACAGGAGTTACAAAGTTTCGAAGATCTACAGCCACAGCCAGTTCCTCATTGCTTCTACGAGAAGATAGATCAAAAACCAGCAAGAACAAAAGCAAAAAACTGTTACCTTAGCGAACGAAGTCGAGCTTTCCAGTTTGCAAAGAAGCTCGTATGCACATCTGCGGTCGAGCTTATGCTGGAGCCGAAAGTCCCGTCCCGCGTACTGCGAGCACAAGGCCTCGGTGTCTGACGTGAGCGGCGGGAGTATCTCCGAGCAGCTTGGAAGACACGGAGACGCAGGAGCCACCGCCTCGCCGCTTTCATAAGCCAAGTCCGCTGCCAGGATCCACACGAGATCTGGATCGCTGCTTGATAGAGCACTCGCTGTCTCCGCGGCTAGCTCTTTCAGCTCCCACTGACTGCAAGCTAAGCTCACCACCGCCCCGGCAACCGTCTCAAAGATTGCATCCAAGGCTGGAGCACTCTTCTTGTCCCCGCTTATAGCTTTGATGCACTTGAGCGCTGCTTCTTGGACTTTACGAACTGTTCCTGGAGACTCCCTGGTGGCAAGAGCTCGAGTGGCAGGCTGCGCTATAAGCTGGTCGAGACCGACCCGGCCTCCAGTTACCGGACCGTCTTGAAGAAGCCGTAGAAGCAAAGGCAGGACGTCCTTTTGCAGGCGACGAGCTAGAAAAGATCCACCGCATTCGCGCGCAACAAATGCTATGGCACTCAAACATCTTACGAGAACCTGCGAAGGAAAACTTGTCTGCAAACTGGAAAAAGAGAGTAGCACTTAAGCTAGCTTACCGCTGGGTGTTCACTCCTCAAGCAGCATACTACGTGAGGCCAGATCTGGTGGATGGTAGGAAGAAGCTTGTTCCCGTCGTTGGGGTCCCTGTCCGGTGTTTCATAATCCAAGTTGCCTTGGGACCTTTCGAAAGCTTGCATGGCTTCTTCCCATCTCAAGTTGCTAGCTTTATAAGCGGCTTCGATCTTAGACAGCGCTGCAACACCATCCTGTAACAACATCACGGCTCATTAACATTTGCGAACACTCTGTTCAATACCAACCTCTATTATGTCAAGTGCAAGAATCCTCGCGGGGATATTTTTCGAGGCAAGTAGCGGAGCCGAAGACACAATGCACGAAGATGCCACCGTCAAAACTGAATGGTGGCATCTTTTGTGCTGCAGCAACGTCTGAATGTTCTGCTCCCCTTCATCCATAGATGATGGCAAATCTGAAAGATAGCTTCGCTCAGAAACGAATACAGTAAAACACCATACCCACCACTCGACGCTAGTTCAAAGCTTTCATGCCTAGCAGCTCTAGTTATTTCTCGCAGTGCCTGTTATCAATGTGATTAGCTAGTTGATGACGATTTCATACACCATTACCTTCAGGATTGGAACCGTAAGGTAAGGATGGTGGTGCCTGCCAGGTATTTCCAGTTCCTGGAGAAGACCTCGCATCTAAACCAGGGAGAGTTAAGCAAGTTGAGACTTCAGATCACTTACTGGTTCTTCGAGGAGGGGAAGCAGGTCGGCTGCAGCTCCAGTTTGTTGTAATATAGCGGTCAAAAACTCAGGCGCATGAGGATACATTGATATGTGCCTCAGTTGCCGACACAACGAATCCACCACATGATCCAAATTTGCCACTACCAGTTTTTGCACCTAGAAACGGAAAAAAACGAGTTATTATCCACAATTTGTAAGCAGAAGCATAACTTACAGAAACATAACCGGAGTGATGGGAAATTGCACGTAACGAAATGCTCGCTGCGTGGGCGACCGAATATCGGCTACAGCCCAGCTTCTCCAATAGGGGATAAATCACCAAGCCCAAGTAGCCGCTGGTTTCGAACGAGCTTCCCAAAGTCATTCCGAAAATTCCAACACCTTCAATAAGCACCTGTAAAGCTTTTATGAGACGATCATGCAAGAAATACACAAACCTGTTGAAGTGTTGCATTGTCTTCGAGGATAGCCAGATCACTCTCGTCACTTCCTTGAGAATCAACTGGAAGATCCCACAATTCTGACACCATGTAATCGTGAAGGACGTCGTCAATGGCGTCACGGACATGTGAAAGAAAGTCTGCCTTCGGCAGCGGATCCCATTCATTGGATTCTTTACTTCCGAAGAGATTATTCCTGTCCAGCCAAGTTCCAGATGCTCCGTAGATAATCTCGTTCAATGCGCAAGCTGCAGCGGCAGCAGAGCGTCGAAGCTGGCCACCCTTGTCAGCTCCACTTTCCGATGCACAATCACGGATAGACGACTGGAGGAGTAGTAGCAAGTCCGCTAAACTTGGTTTGTCGACAGAACCTCTCAAGCTCGAGAAACCAGCAAGTCTCAGAGTGCTTGCCAGTGCATCATACAGCTTCACTTTTCCAGCCTGCGTGAACCAAGGAGCTGTCCGAGGCAACTGATCATTTGCCACTTCAGCCTCAAGACTCGCTCCATGCGGAAGTGAAATCTCTCGAAACTTGTAGCCTCCGGATTCAATGTAGCCGGACGATGCAAACGTTGAAGGAAGACTTAGAGATTGTGTCATAATAGTGATGAACCGCGAAACACAAGCCTGAAACATCCGTCAGCCTTCAATTCCAAAAGATACTCAAATTAATTCAGGCTTACCGGAGATTGAAACAGCGACGTAAAGACAGCTCTGGGGCCTGAGTAATACATTGCGGCTGCTAGTCGTCGCGCATGATGCAATGCAGAAACTTCATCCGCTGAAATAACAACTTTAGGCAGATCCTCCAAAAGCCTGGATCATCAACTGTTAGGCTTTATCACAGTACTTGACTTTCAAACCTGTTGAGAACAGCAGTGAAAGCCGATCTTAGTTTGGAGTCACTTCCGGAATGCGCGAGGAATGAAAGACGGTGACTTGCAGTGGCCGAAACGGAGCTTGAATCACCGCAAGCAAAGAGCAGCAGAGTTTCCTGACATACATCAGTCATTCCCCAACAACGATCGCTAGCAAATATTGATCTTACCAAAAGCAATGGCATGCAGACTTCCAAGGTCTTCTGGCAAGATCCAATTATTTGCCCGGTAGCTTCCACGACCGCTTTACGTACAGCTGCGACCGGATGAGCACAAAGCTGAAACCATGTCAAGAAGCTTGAACTGCAAAAAGAAAAGGAGGAAGTTTCAAACGTACCAAGGGAAGAACATCCTGTAACAACTTGTCGATATGAGATACTGTGTCGGCAAGCCACCTTTCGTGGCACTCTACGCGCATGACCTTTCGATCCTCCATGCTCGTGTCTGCAACCTCAAGCTGATGCTCATCACGTCGAGTTTCATGTACCGCCTTCTTCGACAGCTTTTGCAAAGCTCCCAAAGCTTCCTGGTCCTGAATGCGAGGAGTGGCGATGTCTGCAGTTACTAAACTCCGGGAATCCGCAAGCACGAGAACGAGCAGCTCGGCAATCCCCAGGATCGCCTCACTCAACGACCGGCTGCTGGCAGCTGCTCCAACGGAATAGAACTGCGCGGCGGAAACAAAACCCGACCTCCCGTTGCTCACAACTGCACCCTTGATCACTTTTCCAAGCCCGCTGGCAACACCGGGAAGAAAAAACGCGAGAGCATCGGGCGATGCAACCTGGAAGAACTCTATTCAGCAAGAGAAGAAAAGGAAGAACTTGAATCACCTTCGTCACGACGATTCTAAGCGTTGCAAGAGAGTCGGCTCGTATTGATCCACTCCCCACGCCAGCTCTTGCAGCCTCGGCATGAGAGATCTGCAAGAAGAATCTAGTCACACTCAAGAGAAAAACCACACAAAAATACCTGGAGTAAGACCGAGAACAAATGGCCGATGGCGGCGGCCATCTCCTCCGACCGCATTCTCTCCGCGACATCTCCCTGAGGAGGCAAATGCTGGAACATGGAAGCCAGGCATTTGACAACCCCGTGGCGGAATTCTTCCGACGCCTCGTCGGGCGTGAGCATGGCCGCGCCGACGAGTTTCCGCAGCAGCGTCGCCATCTCCTGGATGTCTTGGACGGGGCATTTCCGCAGCAGAATCTCCAAACACGCAGCAACTCTCTCCGCCAATCTGTCGCTCACGATCACGGGCTTGGATCGCACCGCTACGCCCTTGGCTCGCAGCACCACGGCCGCGTCGATGAGGAGCAGCAGTGGGAAGAGCGCACACCTGACGATTCATCCCAGAATGAGGGAGAGAGAGAGAAAGGGGGGGATTTTCACTTTGCTTACTGGTAGCAGCTCTGGAGAGCCGATGCCGGGAGTGCCTCCAAAACCTTCTCGAGGGCCTCTGCCGCCTCGATCGCCTGGCCCTGCGCCTCGATGCCCGCGGTGGGAAGCTCCAGGAGCTTCGTGCACAGAGGCCGGAGCGCCGAAGAGGCCATCATTCACATTTTTAGGGTTTATACAGAGAAAAACTTAAACCCTTTTGCCCAAGGTGCTAACGATTTTGTAAAAATGCGGTTTTGCGATAAATTATTAACATACTATTACTTAACAGGATTTTCACTTGCGCAATACCCTAATGGACGAGTCACTCCCCACATTCTTGCTCTCAAAAGCTTCCATGGAACTTTGATCTTGGAGCAGGGTTGATCTTTAAAAGCAGTCTAGGACCAATCAACTGGGAAAAGAGGCTTCCTTGGATCAAGCAGACGAATTGGCTAGATCTTTTGCTCAAAAGTAACGGAGCTGGCTGATCAGAGAGAGCGAGAAAGAGGCCAGATCCATTTATTTAACGATTACATCAATACGGACTTCTACGCATTCATATCCAACAAAAAAGAATCTTTTGTGAGAGAGAAGTGTTTGGACGTCAGTACACATGGAAAGGCAAAAGGAACACGGGTTGAATACTGAAAGCAACACCTTGACTGCTGGGCTCATTCAATAACAATATCTCATCACAATATAAGAACAAAGACCGAGACACAGAGCAAGCAATGGCAAGTGTTGCGGATCTACAGCTTGATGGTCTGGTCATTCACCAAGATGGTTCATACACTCGTGGAACAATCCCAACGAGTCCGGCAAATCCCGATTTTGTGGATGGAGTGGCCTCGAAAGATCTGACAATTGAGGAGGAAAGCAATCTGTGGGTGAGGGTATTCTGTCCCCAGCAGAAGCATGAATCTGGTAAGCTGCCTATCCTATGGAGGTGGGTTCATTCAATCCAGCGCTGATGATATTGGATACCACCACCTTTGCGAGGATTTTGCAAAATCGGTGGTTGCACTTGTGGTCTCCGTGAATTACCGGATTGCACCAGAGCACCGCTTGCCAGTTGCTTATGAGGACGGATTTACCGCTCTGAAATGGCTTCAAGCAGTGGCCAAGAAGGAAGTTACCGCGCCCTGGCTGTCGGACTGTGCTGATTTTACCAAGGTTTTCGTGGTGGGCGATAGCGCTGCAGGGAATATTGTTTATCATGTCATGAAGCGAGCTTCAGCGAAGAGTGGCTCGGATTTGAAGCCACTGGTTCTGGCTGGCCAGATTCTCATCCAGCCGTTCTTTGGAGGTGTTGAGCGGACTCCCCCTGAGCTCGTCGAGTTCAAGCCTGGCCAACTTACGACTGAGTTGTGCGATGTGTTTTGGAAGTACACGCTCCCAGATGGAGCCAACAGAGATCATCCATACTGCAACCCAATGGTGGAGCTCCCCCATGCTCTCAATGATGCGGATATGCCAAGGACACTTGTTGTGATCGGGACCGCTGATTTGCTCCATGAAAGGCAGCTCGACTTTGCAAAGAAAGTGAAGGAGATTGGCATCCCAGTTCAGCAGGTTGTGTTTGAGAATGCAGGCCATGCGTTTTACATGACTGAAGGACAGGAGAGAGTGAAGCTTGTGGAAGTTCTGACAGAATTTGTAAGTCAAGAGATATAATACAAAACATTTGATACCACTTTTTAGCTCATGAGCTCAGAATTCAATAAATCTAATTGTCTTTAATTCTTCATTTATTATTTCAAAAAATGTCTAAATTTTGTTTTGAGTCTTACAAATAATCGCCACAGGAGCACTGTCCATCTCTAAAAATATGGAGCCTGCTCGCATACACTCCTCCAGCTTGGAGATGATTGCCGTGGCTTTTTGACAATCCTGGCACACTCTCAAATAACTGACGACACTTCCTGGCTTGGAATTGATCAACGCACAAGGGACTGCAAGCTTCTCGCTGTGCTAGGCACATCCTCTTTCTCGCCAACATCCTCGCAAAAACTTTGCTCCTCTCATCAAGCTTGCCTGTGCTCGAGTATATGTTGGCCATGAGAACATATGCCGCAGCACTGCTCGCGTCGAGCTCCACCAACGACTCGAAAGCCACCTCCCTCACGGCCACATTCTTCCATTTACACACCCCAAGCAGCGTCTTCCAGAGGCATGGATTCAATCACGTTTACTGCCCTGGGTTGCGAGGCCCAGCATACGTAGTGCTCTTTCCCTGGAGAAATTCCAAGCTTGTTGCTCATCACTGTGAAATACTTCCTTGCCTCTTCGACCAGACTGGTATGGCTGTAAGCGCTCAAAACCGACATGAAGGTCTCGGACCCGTCACTGCACTGGAAGATGGAGACCATGCCTTTCAAGCGAAACATGGAGACATGGTGCCCTTTTTGGCTCCAGGCCTCTATTCTCTCCAGCATCTCACACACCGGCAATACATGATATCCTGCTATCATGGATCCGCCAATAGCCAAGAGGTTGACAAGAATATTTTAAGACTATTCTGGCACAGTTAAGGTTTTAGTTATTAAATAAGTATTTTAAACCAAATTAATAAGTTTAATAATATTTAGATCTGTGTAAACTACCAGTATCTAATCTTAGTGGCAATAGTTGCTATTTAATAGAGGTTTTGCCTTATCAACTAGTTTACAGAAGAAATTATTATTTTAAAATTTAATACTTAGTATTTATATTAATTATTTAAGTTAGCATTCTCTAATTTATAATATATATTTATTTAAAGTTTTCATTGGTTTGCTTAAGCAAATCTGTAAGGGGATTGGGATGGTAGTGGATATACCTAGAATATGCTTGGATGTTCTAGGATATTCTACCATCTAATAGTTGTTATTCATTTAGATTAATCTTGTATTTATAATTTATAAACATGTTTATAATTTATAAACTTTCTTAAACCCTTTCTAGTATATTCTTTTTTATTCTATCATCTAATGGTTGATATGCAATAAGATTAATCTTGTATTTATAAATTACAAACATGCTTATAATTATAAACTTTATTTGATCAATTGGATTAATAAGTAAGAATAACATTATTATTAAGAAAACCAAGCGTTCCTACATGCAACACATAGCACTTTATTATTACTATCAAATCCCAGTCATAAGTAATGTCCTATGTTATTTTAGATGTAATTTATAAATAAAAATTTATTTATATTATATTGTGAGGTTCAAGTATACGGCTACAATGCCATATACTAATATTAGTATAGTGGGATTTTGGTAGTTGTCAGATTAGTTTCAATCTGAACCACTCGCTCCTGTATATAAGCTAAAGTTTTTGGGCTAATTGATATGCATATTTTCTATATTCCCTTTCCATATTCCATGCACTCACATTGGTGGAGGTGAGGGGCACCTTTGATTATTCCCTGAGGAGTGCTTGGATTTGAGATTTTGGTTTAGATTTAGCTTTTGCATTATCTAGATCTAGTTTTTTCCATTTCCTTTTTTATGTTCTTTCCTTTTAAGATTTTGGTTTTGATCTAGTTTTTTGCATTGTCTGGATCTCCCATTCCTTCTAAATTAACAATCTCCTCCTCCTTTGACTCTAGAGTAGTAGTTGGTACAATTGTTTGATGCTATGCAATTGCAATTGAACAACCAAAGTTAGTTAATGGTGGCATTCACAGCACATGGTATAACTCCTCTTGCTCTTGGTGCCAATCCTTGTGTTCGGCTAGAGTTTTTTCACGGGAATAATAGGGATGATATACCATTAGTTTGATCACTTCATAGTGATTGCCATATATCTCTCTTGGGATGATGCTCAACATTTGCATGAGTTTCCCATATGTCTCCAAGGGATGGCATTGCAATGGTACAATGGTTTGAGTGCAACCACTCGTAGGGATTGGAATGTTCTTTTGGACGTCTTCAAATGCACATTCGGACATGCTGATGATTGTGATGATGCCTTCCAACAATTACATCATCTTCGTTAAGGGCCATCTAAGTCGGTGATGCAATTTAGCGTTTGTTTCTGAAGCCTCTTACTTCGTGTGGAGCCAAATATGTCGGAGTGGATCAAGCTAGTAAGGTTGTAACTAGCACTTTGTCAAGATTTTGTTGGACTTGTGCATGTATTTGCTCCAACCACCCTTGATGGTGCTCTCCATTTGGCACAACATTCTGAGATATCACCTCTTCCACTTCTCATTGCACATCCTTCAGCTCCACTTTTTGTGAGCGATAGTTCTATTCTAATGAAGGTTGATGCTACTGCTACTCTAGTCTAAAGACAAGGGTGAGGCCATAGTCGTGGCTGTGATGTTCGTTGCTGGGCATATGATAAAGTTGGTCACACTTATCAGTATTGTCAGTGTTTTCTAGATTGGCAGCCACCATTTCCTAGGTGGAGACCTTGGCGTCAACAATGTCCTATTGGTGTTGCTGTAGTGGAGGGTCTGGACACCAAGATGCATCTGGGAAACGAAGAGTCACACAAGTAATGGAGGGACTTTGTGCGAATAAGTCAGTAACCCTTTTATTTTTCTTTCTGGAGTATCATTAAGGGGTTCACTCGGCACTAGTTCATCTAGTGTTTACTTTCCAAACTTGTTTTTATAACAAGTGGTCTCCTATTATTTTCTTCGTGTTGATTGATACAGGTTTGAGTTTATCTTCTATTGCTCAACCTGTTGCCACACATTGCCATCTACACTTGTGTTGTGTAGTGAAGCCAATTTTCATTCTTTATGGCAATTGCCGTACACATGTATGTGTATAGGATGACGCAGACTTAGTTGTGCATATGGGCAATCTCAAGTTTGAGTTGCAATCATTGCAAGTGGTGCTAAATTAAGCTTTTGACCTCATACTTGGTATGGATTGGTTGCAGTGCAATCATGCCAAGTGTGACTTTGAGACTTCTCCCCCTTGTTTTATACTTTTTTATATTTCATCCATTCTTCTCATTTCTGTACTTCATCATCCTTTTATTTTTACTTCTACTTCCATTACTTTTATCCCCCTACTATTTCCTCCTATGTTTCCATCTTATTCTACTCTTCCCTTTTCCAATCCTTTTGAAAATCTTTGTGTTGCAGCAATTGACCGACTCATGAAGGAGTATTTTGATTTCTTTGAATTTGACCTATCGTCTGGGGCCAAGATTGCCACATGCCATCCAATTCCAACTGGGGATGCTTGTCCAATCAAGGTTTCTGTTCGTTGTTGGTGACCCAAAAATATCAATATTTTACGTATAAACGTTAAGGAGATGTTGGAGAAGGGTGTTATTTGAAAGTCGTGGAGTCCTTGGGTATATGAACCTCATCTTATGACAAAGCCTAATGGGTGTATTCGTTTCTGCATTGACTATTGACTATTGACTAATAACCCCTATTGAGCCAAGGGGAACTAACACCTCCATTTTTGCACTGATATACTAATCCTTCCATTGTGTAGACTAGTTATTCCATGTAAAGCAACAAGTCATTCACTCGTACTGTAGTCCCATGGTGGATACCTTCATTTGTGGAGTATGTGTAAACCAGCTATTCCATATGAGGCAACTAGTCATTCACCTGTACTGTAGTCCCATGGTGGATACCTTTGTCCGTGGATACTCCACATAAGAGGAAAGACATACGCACGGATGCTTAATATGTATGATTTCAAATTTAGGTGTAGAAATATACCTTGCTCAAGGGTATATTATATTTTTAAGTAGCCATTAATTAATGGGAATCGAACCCATGCCATTTCCTCTGATACCACATGTAATGCCCCTTATCTTTCTCTCCTTAAGCCAATTGGAAAAGAGGCAATTGCTTGATGAGAGAGCTTTTAGTGGCTATTTTATCCCCATTTATCCCCCAAGGTTCCAAGGATCCATAGTGACAGTATATCCAAATCTCATCCCATGATCACATGTGCTACAAGTTTGAACAATACTCCAGCAACTTTTTAGCGGATGATGGATAAGGTTTTTTGCAATATGCCGGAGGTGATTGCTGACTTCATTGATGATATCTTAATCCATGGAGGGGACATGGGAGTGTAAGCAACCAAAGGGAACAACTTGAAAGATGATCCATAGGGGTTCAAATATAGAAGGAAAGGGCCCATGAATAAGAGTGCACCCTTTTTTCCAATCGGTTAAGGGTCTTGGGATATTTGGGGTTAAGTGTCCTTGGGTTAGAATAGTACTGGGTTGGGTGACCTCCCAGGAAGTCTAAACTCAGGAGCTTACATTTGGTATCAGAGCGGTCTCAGGTCCGACTCTGTTGGTTGGCTAGGGGAATCACACCACATGTTGATTGACATCTGGCTGGTCCAATTTGCTCCCACTGGGCTCGACTCGAGGGGTAGGGTGTCAAGAGAGCAGGGCTCTCGGGAGAGCTGCGGCTCTCAGCTTCCGTTCACGAGGGCGTGAATTTGCAGGGAAGCGTGTTGGATTGTAAGCAACCAAAGGGAACGACTTGAAAGATGATCCATAGGGGTTCAAATATAAAGGGAAAGGGCCCATGAATAAGAGTGCACCCCCTTTTCCAATCGGTTAAGGGTCTTGGGATATTTGGGGTTAAGTGTCCTTGGGTTAGAATAGTACTGGGCTGGGTGACCTCCCGGGAAGTCCAAACTCAGGATCTTACAGGGAGGAGCACATTTGTGATGTTTGTAAAGTGTTGGATCAGCTATATGACGTTAATTTAAAGCTTAAGCAGTCGAAGTGCGTGTTTGGGTCCAAGAACACA